GGGGGGGGGGGAGGGGGCTTCTGCAACTTATAGACAACGTCATTGTATGCAACAGAAATATGTCAAGGGTAGACAAAGGGCCCCTATCGGTGTGCCAAGCTGAGATCCATAACAAAGCATGCAGAATCCCACGTCACCAATACGAGGAAAATAAATTCCGAGGGCTACCATTAGCCCTCCAGTTGGAGCAGCGGCGATCACCCGGGGAGCTCGGGGCCTGGCCAAGGCCTCAAACGACAACCGGGGTTCCAACATCTACCGCTATTGGTTAGCCAACGAACAAGGTCAAAGAAGAGTGCTGGGGCCGTTGTCGCCTTTGTACCCGGAGACGGCGACAATGCCAAGAAGAAACCCTACAGAGTTCCAAAAATCCAGGGGTTTGGATTTTGGAGCTTTGGTATAGAAGCGGACTTGTTTTGCTCAATCATCATGGTCAGTGGACGGAGTAGCTTTTCTTTGTACGAGCTGCGGTCATCAGACTCGGTAACCAGAGAAAGCGGATCGATATTCTATGCGGAACCGAGGTAAGTAAATCTGACAGCAGCCGTCACTCTGCACATTGGCCTTTGGTTTAAACTTTCCGACTCATTTTTCCTTGGGCCGTAGTGTTTTGAAGGTCTTTTTGTCTTTTCGCTTCATTGGCTTTCTATATGAATCTCATCTCTTCTTGTTATAACTGCGTACCCGTCATGTGGAGCTTATCAGTCCCTATCTTTACTTGCTCCCGGAAAAGCCCGAGGGACGATCACGTGACACATGTGATTCTCAGCATAGGGTCACCGTTTTCAAGTTGTTGACTGAGAATGAGTCTGTCGGACAGAAACAAAAAAGTATTGAATAACCAGGTACAGCGCACCGTATGTAATGCTTAGAAGAGTTTACTGGTTGACTAGCTAACCAGCTCATTCACTCAACCCCGTTCAATAGATGGTATAAGGACGGCTGAGGGGACAGGACGCCCTACTCTCTACACCCTATGGTCGTATGCGCTGAATTAGAGCAGTGAAAAGTGCTATGAAACGTGATGCAAAGCTAGATGTCATAGACGCCAAACGGATGCACGTTTCTAGCACTGTCTGGTCCAGAGATATGAAAATATTCCCCGAAAGGCTCAAGCCCTGCTGCGGGACCTGTCGGTCGCACGAGCTCGGATATCAGGAGACCACCGCCTGCCAGGGCCGACTCCGGAAGTTCCTCGGAAGACGGATTTCTCTGTCCAATGGCTGTCGACGAGAATGGCAAATGCACAAGACCACATCCTTGATCCATCCTTGCACACGACCACATGTGCCATTTTGCCATGACTAGTGGCTGGTGGTTTGTCTAGTGAGATGCTTGAGCAGGCATAAGCACACGCCCGCCCCGCCACGCCCCACTCAGCTAGAGTCAAGGTCAGAAACGTGCTACCAATCTCCACATGCCATTGGTTTGTTCCTGTCAAGCACGTGCCCAGCCCTAAGGTGGTAGATAGTAGTACTAGGACGGTACTGGGTAGGTAAGAAGTCCTACTGAATGAATTGAATCGCCAGATGCGCGCGTGAGACTAAACTGGCACCATTATTTAAGTCGCTGCTGTCTCCCTTCAAATGGATCTCTCCTCTTGCCTTCGTCCTCAGCTTCCTCAGCAAGATCAACCCCAATGGCTTCATCAGTCGCTGCACTTGTCGCCCTGGCCGGTCTGGTCACTGGTGCCACCATCACCACCACGGAGCCTTCTTTGTCTGAGATTCGACAAGCTCAGGCGACGACGGTCCCTCTGACCTGGACCTCCAATGTCACTGGCAAGGCCTACGACCGCTTCTACCAGATCTGGTTGGAGAATGTGGTATGTATTCGTGACTTTGTGGTATAGGTGATTTGCAGCTCATGTTCTCTATACAGGACTATGAGAATGCTGCCAACGATACCAACCAGCAGTGGCTGGCCAGTAAGGGTATCACCTTGACCAACTACTACGGTACCGGTCATCCTTCGCAGCCCAACTATGTTGCTGCTGCCAGTGGAGACAACTACGGCATGGACAATGGTAAGTTCACCGTCGCTTCTTCCCCTTCTTGATGATAGACGTTAACGATAATATAATCCAGATGATTTCCATGACATCCCCGCCAATGTCTCCACCATTGCCGACCTCCTGAACACCAAAGGCATCTCGTGGGGCGAGTACCAGGAGCATATGCCCTTTCCCGGTTTCCAGGGATACAATTTCTCCAACCAGGTGACTTACGCCAACGACTACATGCGCAAGCATAATCCCCTGGTCTCCTTCGACTCGATCAGCAGTAATGACACCGCTCTGCGCCTGATTAAAAACTTCACGACCTTTTACGACGACCTCGATAACCACGTACTCCCGCAGTGGGCCTTTATCACCCCGAGTAAGTCAATCTGTCTCAGACTATCCTATCCCAAGAAAGCATGCCTAACATCTCCCAACAGATATGACCAACGATGCGCATGACACAAACATCACCTTTGGCTCCCAATGGCTCCGGGGCTTTGTATCCGAGTTGATGAACAACACCTATTTCTGGGACAACACCCTCCTGCTCCTGACTTTCGACGAGACCGAGACCTACGGGGTCCCCTCCAGCGAGGCGTACGCCGAGCGTAACCGCGTGTTCAGCGTCCTTCTCGGTGGTGCCGTCCCCGAGCATCTGGTCGGCACCGAGGACGACACCGTCTACACCCACTACTCGACCATCGCCACCGCCTCGGCGAACTGGGGACTCCCCTCGCTCGGCCGCTGGGATTGCGGCGCCAACATCATCCAGTTCGTGGCCGACAAGGTCGGCTACACCAACTGGGCGGTCGACAACACCCACCTCTTCGTGAATGTCTCCCTGCCCGGCCCCCTCTCCGAGGCCGACTACTCCCAGTATCGGCCCACCTGGCCCATTCCCGCCACCAACGCCTCCTGCTCGGCGGGCTACGGGGTTCTGCCCGCCGTCGTGGACGCCTATCGGGGCCAGGAGCCCACCTACAACTACACCTCGCCGTTCCCCTACGATGCGCCCTATGGGTTGAATGTGGGCACGTCGTACTCGCGCAACGGAACGACCTATGTTTCCGGGGTGAATGCGACTGGTGTGATCGGCGATGACTCCGCGTCGAATTCCACCTCCTCCTCTTCCTCTGCTTCCTCCTCGTCGGCGGTTTTCACGGGTGCGGCTGTTTCGGAGATGAGGGCTTCGGGGGCGGCCTCGGTGGCTGCGGCTGGCTTGGTGGCGCTTTTCGGCTTGTTGTAAAAAGATTTGAAGGATTCGACGACGGAAAGGTATGAGCTTTGAACGCACGAACAACCTGTTTTGTCTTGATAATAGTTGAGGATAAATAATTCACATATTAAGCTACGGACAATCCCTCCTTTGTGCATATTATTGGATAATGCAAGTTCCCTCAGGGAAGGCCAACCTTGAGAGGGTCCAAATCGTCTCATTCTTCGGTCGCGCTTCTTTAGAAACTATGTACTCGGATTTGGGAGTATATATTCCTCTACAGAAAGTGAATTCTATCCAAGATAAAAACAAAATGAGAACAAGTTGGACATTTCTCGCAGAAAACCTCATAACTACTACATTCTAAAAACTGTAAAATGATAAATAGAGATATAGTAGGCTACCTTGGAGAATATTTTATGCAAAGGAAATGAAAGTCCTTAGACATCGAATCAATACCGTGGGAGCGATGAGTTCGTAGTACAAATATGTCAAGATTTAAGGTAATGACAAAAGCCGTAGATTGGAGCACGCCAGACCGACCGCGAATCACCAAGCCCTCTGAGCGCGAATGTAGTTCGTCCAGAAGCGCGCGCGCGCTGGGTCGTCCACCGTTTTGATCGTCTGCCACTCGCCGCCCAGCTCGAGCAGAGTGTCCGGTTGATCCACGAGACTGGGCCACTCGGCCACACCCTCCGGACGAGAAGACGCATCCTGCAACCCATTCGGATTACCGTATTTGATGAAATTGGCCCACAGGGTCGAGACCTTGTCGCCGATCACCCGATCTGTCTCCGTCCATGGGCGGAGGTCGTTCGTGATCAGACTGTTGAACGTGTAGGCGAACTCGGCCCCGTGATACGCGCCCCCGACCGGACCCTTCTGGTTGGTGAACCCCGGAACTTTGGGTTGGGAGTGATCCGGCTGCCAGTTGCGCCACGGGGTGATGGGGTGGGTGAAGTAGTAGCCGTACACCGCGGATTGGGTCTTCTGGTGATACTCCTGCGCCCAGAGGGCGATGTTGTTGCGCGTGTTGTCCCGAGCGGCCTGGTTCCACGTTTCCAACGGACCCTGGCCGGTCTCCTGGTTGCGGAGAGGGTAGAGTTCGTGGAATCGCTCGATGTAGGCGGGGCTACCCTTCCCGTACGTCGAGTTGGGGCCGAGACGACCCTCCACGCAGTCGAGAAAGTCCTCGTAGGTGAAGCGCGGCTCGTTGTAGGTGCCCCCTTCCTCGCTGTTCATGCCCGCCATGACGGGGACGTCGTTGGGCGGCTCATCCGCGTGGATCTCACTCCAGGGCTTGGGGATCACGTAGCCGTCGAGGATAAGGCGGAACAAGGGGGGAGGTCCCCAGTATCGCCGGTCGCGTTTGGTCGAAACTTCGCGTAACTTGTCCAAATTGTCGAATCTCCGAAACTCGTCGACACTCTTGATGCCGAGCTCGCGGAGAAGTTGCACCCCGTCCTCCTCCGCTTCCTGGAGGGTTCGGTAGGACATGGGTCCGTTGGCGAGGGCAGGCTCCTGGAACGAGCGGGGCCCGGATTGCAGGATCACGCCGTGAAGAAGCCCTTTGGCTAAGGGAGAGGACAGGAGAGTGTGGCTCATTGCATTTCCGGCCGACTGCCCGCCGACGGTGACCTGGTTGGGGTTGCCGCCGAAGACGGAGATGTTCGATCGCACCCACTTCAGTACCTCCACCGCGTCCAGCATCCCGACCATCCCGGACGTTCCGGACGGCGACTCGGCGCTGAGTTCGGGATGGGCAAAGTATCCGAAGATCGCTGTTCGCTCTTGGTGTCAGTGGGTGGATTTGCCTGGCACTGGTGCTGAGCGTATCAAGTTGACTTGACTTACACAGTCGGAAGGAGGGCACCACGACGATGACTCCCTTTTGCGCCAGTCCAGTCCCGTCAAAGTTGGGGTCTGCGCTGCCGCCCTCGCGAAATCCACCACCGTGATACCAGACATAAACCGGTACGGTCTCTTTGTCTCCAGATCATTGCCGGGCTGGTAGACGTTGAGGTACAGGCAGTCTTCCGACTGGGGATGGCCTTTCAAGACATTGGGGTAGCGTGGATCGGGTGGTGCTTGGGGGCACACCGGGCCGATGGTATCGCATACTCTGCATCGTCCCAGGGAATAATGGGCTGAGGTGGCTTGAATCGATTGGCTCCAGTAGGAGGAGCCGCGTAGGGAATGCCCTTGTATATTGTGATCCCAGGGTCGAGGGGGCTGGGAAGTCCCTGAATGAGACCGCCCTCAACCTGTACGGGTGGTAATGTGCTGCCCATTTTCGACTGTGACTGACGGGAAAGAATGACGATCTCTCATTGATGAGAAGCAGGACATATCAATCAAGCCCGGCTTATAATACTGAAAGCTTGTTAGCGTGCTCGGGGATTATTCACCCCTCATTTGATTAGGGTTGCCGGGCGGATCTAATCTCAGCCGAGTCTCGCCTCCGCATTTTCCCCCGCTCTTTCTGTCTGCTTTCCTTCTCCCAACTCATGCTTCGCTTCGCCTCGCTTCCACCCTGGCCGTTTTGACAGATCCCCGTCAGCCATCATGACAGCTCCTACTCGGCAAATTCTGCAGTTCCCACCAGATTCCAGCCAGATCAACCCGCTCCTCTCGTCCGAGCTCCCCCGCAAGCGAAAGCGCGTCAAGACGGGTGAGTCTGATCAGCTGGCGTCTGTAACTGAGACGGTTGTGTGACATTTCCTCGGCCCATCTAGGCTGCCTGACCTGTCGCGCACGCAAGGCGAAGTGCGACGAGACACATCCACTTTGCAACAATTGCCGCAACCTGGATGTGGAGTGTCAATGGGGCCAAGGATCCAGACGACAGGGATGTGAGTCATCTCATCAGCCGTAAGGGGGCATTGGACATGCTCTCGATTGCTCATCCGTGAACCAGCTACTGCATCTCTTTCCGATCAAGCCGGTCGACCCTCCGATCCACAGACCAGAGCCGGGCCCCGTTCTCCCGCGTGCTTTACCTGTCGCTACGCCCGGTCCAGATGCTCCAAGACCCGCCCGTCGTGCACCCGCTGTGCCATCTACGGCCACGAATGCAGTTACCCCGAGACGAATAAGGGACGGTCGCTGACGTCCTCTGCCCAGTCCTTGATGCAAAGACTTCGAAGTAGTCGCTCACCGTCGCCTGCCATCTCCTTGGAAGATGAGTCGAGAACCATTGCTCCTGTCTATGACCGTGCTATGGTATCTCCCCCCGAGCTTCCCAGCGACGAGAGCCGTGTCGGGTTCAGTTATGAAACAATACAGGAGAATCTGGTGATGAACACTGGCTTGGTCAACACATTCAATGGGTTGGATGTGTTTGGTCCTGATACTGTTCACAATGTTTTGTTGCCGACCCGTTCCGACTCAATACTCAACTCCGCTAGTCCCAGTAAGACCCAAGCGGACAGGTCTAATCAACCCGCTCAAATCAATCTGCCTAGCCAGGATCGACTGGAGCGTCTTGCTGTGGCTTTCTTTATTCACGTTCATGTCTATCGCGCCAATGCGTTTCTCCACCGAGACCGAACGCTCACTGCCATCCGCGATGGAACCTTATCCGCGGCGATTGTCCTCGCTCTCTGTGCTGTTGGGGGGAGATTCTCCTTTCCTGTGGAGTCCGAAGAGACAGTGATGGCCTGGGCAACAGATGCAGGTGTTCAAATCATAGCATCGACGGACGTAAACAGAGACAACATCGCGGCTTCCCTTCTGCTAACCATCTATTATCAACAGGCGGGTCAGTTTGCACGATCCCATCTCTGGTCCGGGATTGCCATTAACCAGGCAATTACCCTCGGCCTGCATCGCGAAGCCCCACTAAGAAATCACACCTTCGTCGAGAGCGAACGCGATCGACGGATATTCTACGCATGTTACGCGATGAGCCGGCTCATATCCAACGGCGCACCGGAGTCGATTCAGTGCCCCTCGTCTCGCATCAGGCTCAAGCTACCGTGCGACGGCTTCAACTACCGGATGGATGTTTCTGTGGAAACACCATACGCCCAGTTGGAGGAGGCCGAGGGGCCCTCGGGGTCAGCTGACACCCACCAATGCGTGGGCGCCATGGGGTTCTGGGTGCGCTTAGTCGGGGTCCGAACTATGACTCGGCGATACTTTCACACCCTCACCGAAAGCCAACAGCAGCAGCAGCAGCAGGAAAGCGACACACGAGCAGTGTCCGGGGGTAACCAAAGATGCCCCATGATATTACCGTCACTAGCACCGTGGAGTCCCAGTTCCCCGTATGCAGCATGCATGGCCAAGCTAGCCCTCATCCGAGAGTCGCTACCTATCAGGTTCCAGCTCTCCCGCGAACGCGTCGCGCAACTCGCCGAATCTCCCGTCCTCGGCCAAATCGTGCTGTTCTACCTGTGGTGGAACATATGCCACATTGAACTATGCAGCATGGCGTTGACGGGGTACGCGCAATCGTTGGACGAGGATACTCTCGCTGCCGCTCCGGATGGCTGGGTCCAACAGACGCGCCAGAACTGCTTGCGGCATGCGCAGGCTATAACTGATGTGCTGGAACTCCTTGATCGGGAGGTATCGGGGCATCCGCTGACGATCTACGACCATACCGTCGCGCATGTAGTTTACCTGTCCCTCCGAGTGCAGTTGGAAGTCGGACTCGTGGATGACGAGATCCCGTCTCGGTTGAGGAACCGATTTGAGATGATGCTCGCGTTTGTGAAACGAACGAGTACCTATTTCCGGTCGGTTCAGCTTGTGGTGAGATCAAGCCCTGCTCATCCTTGATTCCAGTCTGCATCGACCGCCCCTGCTAATGAAGTTATCCGTGCTATTTAGCTCAAGGAGATGCATCGCATGCTCGCCGACCATGGAGTGGCCCCTTGCAACCCGCACCAGGAGAGCCTGTCGTGAGTTCGCTCTTTGTTTATCTATTCTCACTACCACTTCTCCTGCAAGCACAGACTGAATCCCCTCCTAGTAGAGCCGAAACACCTCCATTACCTTGGTTCCGACGTCAAAAGAGCCTGGATAGCCAAAGGCTTGCAGAGCAAGCAGCCATTGTGAGTAGATCGAAAGATAAGGGAAGCCAATACTATCTTCCTGATACTAATTGGCACGCTTTCCCGACACAGGAAAGTATAGACATTGACGCGATTCTCCTCGATCTCTTGCCCGACTGCACATCAACGCACGGGACTACCGGCTGGATGCAAAGACTTGAAGTTCGGGACGCTACTCTGTCACAGGTGCGTGAGTCCTAAACACTACATCTTCTATTCTCTGTGCAGACAACTTAAAAATTTCCTTAATTCAGGGCCCCCCTCCAAGTATAGAATGGAACACGGTTCCTGGTCTCTGGGCTCCACAACACACCCGTAGCTCATCGCGGGCGGCGAATGGCTTGGATAGCACGAGGATTGACTTGGAACCGGGTGTTAGTATTTGCTCGTGGTGATTGCAAAGGTTTCTCTGGGCAGAGATCTATAGTGTTTTGTCTTGCGGGGAGGTCTCTGGGGTTGCATAAGTTTAGAACCGTGTGTGTAAAAGACTCGGTGACGAGATAATCTGTTTACAAACAATGCTAGAAAAGGAGCGATAACTTAAGTACCATAAAATATATGCTTCATGCGAAATAATGCCGGAGGCATAGGACGTCCACTGTAATTTGCTTATTTCATGGAGGCTCCAAAGATAAAATTGCGACGATCAGACTGTCACACGTCATCTTCTCCTCGTTGGGAGACCTCTAGAAACCTCCCCCTTCTAGTTCCTAGGCGAGCCTCGCCTACGTCCCCCTCGCTTCCCGATCGGGTAAACCCGCCCGATGCCGTGAGAGTAGCGAGCGAGCGAGCATACCGAGCGTCTTCCCAAGCCTAATGCGTATTTGTTTTCAAAGTGCCAAATCATGTGCTCTGCTCTCGGTCGCTGGCTTGGGGTCTTTACTACTGCCTTGATTGAATCTCACTAACTCATTTATCAGCCTATTTGACTCCGAATCAGGTGGATGTCAGTGATACCTAACGAGATCTCCCACATACCACCGTCCATTGACCTATACACCAACCTACACCAACAAAGAACGATGTTAGATCAACCGACAAATTCTTCCGACAACGAGAAACATGCCGCTACCCAGACGATCACAGCCCCAGAAACCGCGGCGACTTCCACCAGTAACACCGACAGCGACAGCAGCACCCGCCAAGATGCGCCCGTCCAAACGCAGACGAATCTCCTCCCAATGCGCCAGCTTCTGATTGTCTTTTCTGGCCTATCGACTGCGATGCTATGCTCTATGCTCAATCAAACTATGTAGCCCACCCAGACCTCCCCGTCGCTGTCTATGATGTTATTAACAGGAAACATATAGCGTCGCCACCGCCCTCCCTACCCTGGGCGCGGTATTTCACGAAGCCGACATCGTCGCGTGGGTCGGCACCGCCTACCTCCTCACCAGCACCGCCTGTCAGCCCCTGTACGGCCGGCTGAGCGACATCTTCGGTCGGAAGGTGATCCTGCTCGGCTCGTTGGGGTTTTTCCTGTTTGGAAGCGTCTTGTCCGGAGTATCGCGGGATATGATTATGTTGATTGTTTCGCGTATGTGTTCCATTCTTCTGGAGGCAGAGTCTGGGCTCGAGCTGACACCAACGGGATGTGATGCAGGTGCCATTGCAGGGATTGGCGGGGGCGGGATCGTCACGGTCGTCAGCATCGTCGTATCTGATGTTGTGTCTCTCAAGGATCGGGGCAAATATCAGGGGATCATCGGCGTGGTGGTCGCCGCGGGGACGGCGATGGGGCCGGTGATTGGGGGCGTATTCACGGAGAAGACGTCGTGGCGGTGGTGTTTTGTATGTACATGTACCCCTGTCCTGTTTCTTTGCCCTCAATTCGTTCTGGATGTGTTGATATTGTGACATGCTGATCAAGCTGAAATTTTTGATCGATTTCTAGTATATCAGTGTTCCGCTCTCGGCGGTCGCGATCGTGATTGCATTTGCCCTGCCGCTCAGGAAGGTCGAAGGGAATGCGATGGAGAAGATCAAGAAGATTGATGGCTGGGGGAGCTTGGTCAGCTTTGCGGCTTCGATCGCTATTCTGTTGCCGATTTCCTGGTGCGTGGGCTGGCGCTTCTGTAGTAGGCTTTTTGGGCCTGCTTCTAAGCTAACCGGGGGGTGTTTTCTAGGGCTGGAACGCGATATCCCTGGACATCGGCGGCGGTTCTGGCTCCACTATTGATCGGAGTCTCGCTCATCGGAGTCTTTATCTTGGTTGAAGTCAAACTTGCCAGACTCCCCTTGTAAGTTGCACTTCTACATTCATTGCGGCCTAGACTATTGGTGTGAACACTAAAAGCTAATACATCTATCTGCATAGAATCCCATGTGCGTTCTTTCTGAAAAGTCCCCAAGCCAATACTAACAATAAACCACCCCTAGTATCAATGTTCAAAAACACCCACGTAGCCGTGTGCATCACCACATCCTTTCTAACCGGCTTCATGACCTTTGTCAACCTCTACTACGTACTCACTCCCTTCCTTTCGCCCATCGTTTCTCACCACAAATCTAATCTCGTCTCAAAACGAACAGCTCCCCCAATTCTATCAAGTCGTCCAAGGCGACTCCGCCCTCCGCTCCGGGATCCTCATCCTCCCCCTCGTGCTCTCACAGATCATCACAAGCTTCACCTCTGGCTTCCTCGTCTCCAAGTACGGGTGCTACCGCATCAACCTGATCGTCGGGTACGGGCTGTGGACGATCGCCTCGGGGGTCTTCACGACCGTGAAACCGGCCACCCCCGCCTGGAAGCTCGTTGTCTACCAGTTGATCACCGGCTTGGGAAGCGGGCAGACCCTGCAGACGACGCTGGTGGCCATCCAGGCAGCCGTGCAGCGGCACGAGATGGCCGTCGTGACGGGCGCACGGAATTACCTGCGCATGATGGGGTCGACGCTGGCCGTGGCGGCGTGTGCGGCGATTGTGAACAATGTTGTTCGGTGGGTTTGCTTCTTTCTCCGCGGGTGACTAGTGCTTGAGGTGGTTAAAATGATATGACATGTATCGGATATACGCTAACCGTGATTCTCTGTGGTCCAGTTCGAAACTCACTGACCTGGACTTTGATTCCGCTGTGATATCGTCGATTGTGTCCGATCCGACGACGATTACCTCGATGAGTGGATTGTCCGAGGTGGAGGTAACGGAGGCGTTGGATGCGTATGGTGAGTTTCTCCTTCCCACACATACCGGTCTGCACGGCACTGACTCGTCCCGACCTCGGTCTGGGTGGCTATAGCCAAAGGTGTGCAGGTCACCTACTACATGATGACGGCCTTGGCGGGAGTACAGTTTCTGCTCTGTGTGTTGTTCGTCAAGGATTACTCGTTGGAGCGCGAGGATGATGCCCGCGAGAAGGAGGCGGCGAAGAACTGGCTCCAGGAGCGGAAAAGGAAGCCAGACGGAAAGGGGGGCGTGGCGGGAGGGGTGGCCGGGGTGGAGGAGATCGAGGAGCGGCGGAAGGAGGTTGAAGATAGGGTCTAGAATGCGTCAGTTTTCTCGGTCAAGATGAAGGCTTGGAAGGAGTGAAGTCAAGTTGCGCGTTTCCGTACTGGTGGCTATTAAGGGGAAACTTTAGTGATTGGGCGATTGTGCGAATTTCCAAGTACCGCGGGACAGTTAGAAGCAATAGACGAAGAGAGTCTCCGACAGGGAATTATGAAAGATCTTATTATTACGCGCACTCGTACCTCCCACCGCGCTGTGCTTTGATGCACATATTTCCTCGCAAGGTCCGTAGACCGTCTCTTCTCTGTCGTGCGGAACTGCAGCAACCTAAATACAGACTATATACCTCTTTGAATCTATTGATGGGCATAAGAGATGTCCGGTTCACAGAGAATCATTATCCTCCGATCTTCTCTTCAATGTCCCCAGTGTTTAGCTTATGCACTTATTCAGGCATGAGATCAGACATCTCATATCATTGTCTTGTCAGCTGCTATCTGACTAGCTACATCACTTACCATGCTCACGTTCCATACAACTACCATATGCCACCTAGCCAATCTTTCTTCCTACCTTCTCCTTACCCGGAACAGGTCGAATAATGTTCTTAACTACTGTATTCAACATGTTCAACAGCCTGACTCTTTACACCCCCGCTCTCACCTCCCACGTGATGTTGGTTGACCGCGTCATCTTCTTCGAATACATCAATCTTCGCGCTACGCCATTTGCGCGGATGCAGATCCGAGCTCTCGAACAGGTAATCGATCTCACGAAAGGTGCGGCCTTTCGTTTCGGGTAGTCGGAAGATGCACCAGATCCAGATAAGGGCGTTGGTGCCAGCCTGCGATGATGCACAAATAAGAAATAAGGTAACAAAACTGACAGGATCGTCACGTATGGATCACTCACAAACAGAAATGCGGTCTTGGCACCCAGGTTCCACGAACCACCGGTCAACATCTTCGGGATGAGCACATTGGAGACCAACGAGCTCACATTGAAAGCCACTCGAGCGAGGGAGATCATCTTGGCCCGGAGCTTGCCAGATGGGACTTCGCCCTATTTGTTCCCACATTCTCCACATCAGCACAAGTTACGGGATGGCAGCACAACAGAAAAGATGGAGGACGTCTCACCACAATGGTGTACGATGACGGCGCCACCGTAGCAATATAGACCACACTCGAGACCAGCAACAACGAGCCAACCGCATTCGACACTTGGATACTCTGCTTGACGCACCCCAGCACGCCGATCGCGAACAGAAACACATCGCTGATGATCAGCCCGGCAATGAAGATCGTGGCCCGGCCGAACCGCGTCATGAGCCAGATACAGAACGGCCCGAAGGTCAGATACTGGGAGTTGAGAATGAGGTTCAGGTCGAAGGCGCCGTGCTCGGACAGGCCGGCCTGCTCGAGGAACTGCACCGTCTGCACGTTGATCCCATTCCCGCCCCAGGTCTGCGCCATCTGCACGATGCACACGATCTCCGTGCGCCAGCGGTTCTTGCCCCGGAAGCATTCGGCGTAGCTGCTGGAGGCATTGAGTTCCACCTCCATGCGGTTCGTGTAGTCGATCAAAGCGATCGTCTGCTCGATTTCTTCGGTGGTGGTGTTGTCGCTGCGGATGCGGCGGAGGATGGCGTGCGCGTCGTCGAGGCGGCCGGTGCGGACGAGGAAGTAGGGAGATTCCGGGGCGAGGAGAAAACAGATGAGCAGTGGGGGGACCCACACGAATTGGATAAGGAAGGGGATGCGCCAGGCTGGAAAGAGATATGGTCAGATCAGGAGCGCTCTTGTCACTCAGACCATATCTGCAAGGAGACGGGAGACCTACCCCATTCACCGGGGACGTTCAAGCAGGCTCGGACAATCAGCGAGCCGATGAAAAATCCCAACCCCCAGCAGATGCCCACCCATGCGGTCACAAACGGACGCAGACACGTCGGGACCATCTCGGAGGAATAGGCGATACAGCCGGTCTGGAACGCACCCCATGGGATCCCGCACATTACCATGGCGGCAACCATCATTCCGAGATTTTTCGCAAAGGCAAACAGAAATAGGGTGCCAGCTAGCATGATCATCATTCCGCTGAGAATGGGCTTCCATCCGTACCGGTCGGCGAGGAACCCCGCCAGGGAGAGGCCGATGAGCTCCCCGCACGCCATGGCTTGCTGGATGGCGGTTTGCCACTTCGCGGATATCTCCAGTACCCCGTTGTCATGCGTGCCAAATTGCTGTTTGAATTGGTCCTGGCCGTAAAAGGTGGTGGTCTGTCACGGCCCGCGGCATTGTGGAAGGGTTAGTTAGGGCTGGACACTGGGGGCGGAGGAAATGCGGGGGCGTGGGGGCATTTAGCAGGGTGTGGGGGCTTCACTAACACATGTCGCATCCGCCGCCTGCATGGTCAGTGTGAAGGAAAACACACATGCCCAGAAGACAGCTTTGCGATACTTTCGGATGGCCTGCCACCAGGTGAGTGCGTGGTCCGCAGCATTGGCGGCGTGAGCCCTCTCGAGCAGAGTGGTCTGTTCGATGTTTAGTTCGGAGTCCTTGGAGTCAGCCATTTGGAGACGGGCATCTCTGGCCTTCTATGACTCCGGTGGGGACGATCGCCTCTAAATGGTCTCCCGGATTCTGCGGGGAAACGTGGGGTAAACAAGGTCCGGCTATACTCTATCGCGCCTGATGCAGGCTTTGTAGGTGTCCCAGGAAGCTAATAGCACTGTACCTCGTATCCATCAGGCCATACGATCCGAGGCGATGCTCGCCAAATTACTGGCTGCCAAAGCTTAAAGATCGCGGCTCGCTAATTTCGCCTAAGTGATAAGAGGCTAGCTGCCATGGCCTAGCCTCAAGCGCCCCTCAAAGCTTCTCCTCGTGTTCATTTGAGCTCGCCCCTACCTTCACTCACCCCTCCTTCCTTCGCCACGTTGCTCATACCACCAATCCCCAAGAAGGTCATGTCGCAAAGTTCACGAACCATGTACGCCTACGTTGGTAGCTTTGTGATGCCGACCCCAGGCGCACATGATGGGCTGCATGTATTCCGAGTAGACTCCGAAACCGGAGCCCTAATGCCCGTCTCTTCCCACACCCCCGGCCTCAACGTGGGTAGCTTCGCTCTCGACCCCCAGCGCGGCGTCCTCTACGTGACGGACGAGGTGGCCTCTACCTTAGAATTCCGCGAGCAACACCAGGTCGCCGGCGGCGGAGGTGGGCGGATCTTCGCCTTCACCATTGACCGTGAGACGGGCGCGCTGAGCGAACTCGGCCACTGGCCCAGCTACGGCACAGCCCGCGGGAATTGCTCTACATCCCAGCGGTGGTTTTCTGGTGGTCTCGCATTTCACTAACCGCACCACCACAACCACTCAGATTACCGGGACTGCGCAGTCGGGCTTCACAATCAGCCCTCGCTATGACGACGCAACCACCGTCCTCTTCCCTCTCGACTCCACTGGCCGCATCGGCGCCCCCTGCGACATCCACATCCACCCACCCGCCTCGCCACCTTCGTGTCTGCACTCCATCAGTCTCTTTCCAACCAGCACCAGCCAACACCAAACCTTCTATCTAGAATGTGACATGCTCCAAGACCAGCTCTTGACCTTCACACTCGCCGCCAAGCCTCCCCTTCTCCGCATGCACGCATCTCATGCCACCCCAAAAGGAAGCGGACCACGCTACTCCGCCTTCCACCCCACCCTCCCAGTCTTTTACGTCAATTACGAGTACCACCCCATCATCGAGACCTTTACCTACCAGCCTGATGGGTCCTTCACCTCCTTGTCTAAGGTGGATGTCCTCCCACCGGCAGGGGAGCTGGACGCAAACTATCCGCCACCGGAAGGGAAGGTTCTACTGTCTGATCTAAAGGTGCATCCAGGCGGAGAGTTTGTCTATACCCTGGTGCGGGGATACAATGTGCTCAGTGTTTTTCGGGTCGATCCAACCACGGGAGGGTTGGAACGTTTGCAGACGGTCGGGTTGATGGGTGCGGTTTCGCCCAAGGGGTGTGCGGTTAGTCCCGATGGACGGTTCCTGTACGTGGCTCTTTCGGTGAGCGGGCTGGTGCAGGTATGACGGGTGGAGGAGGAGAACGGGGGCAGGGTGGTGTTTACGGGGTCGACGGTGAGTGTGCCGAGACCGGGGGCGGTTTTGGTGGTTGAGATGTAGATGTATCAAATAGAAATCCGATATTTCAGATGTTCATCTTGGGATTTTGAATCGAGTTGGAAGGATCAGAACACTATACCTCTGTTTGGAGTGTGTTGAGAAATTATCAGGAACGTGGCAAGACTCAGAAAAGTGGGCAGTCTCAGATGAATTGGAGCATTCTATTTCCATTGGTGTTTGCCCGTATTCTAGCAAGTCTGCGATACAAATGGAGGTATTGATGGCAACTCTAAAGTGTCTCAAACTGCGGGAAAAAAAGAAAAAGAAAAAGAAAAAGCAAATTAAATCCACTTCTCTTTCTCCTCGACCACCTTGGCCCTCGCATCCCACCAAAACTGCAAGCCCTCATCGTTCAAGCCCCCCAGCACATCCTCCGCCGTATGCGGCGCCCCGGGGACAATTGCTTTCCCAAACTCGACCCCCCACGCCGTCAGCGTCTCCCACATATGCTCATGCGCCTCGCGCAGCCGCACATCCTCGTCCCCAATCAACAACCGCAACTTCGTCTTCTCCCTCTTCACATGTTCCAACTGCCTCTCCAGCAGCGTCAACGCATGATTGGCCGTGAAGAACGCCTGACTGCCGTTATACGTATCATACGTCACCTCCCGCCCTTCATCCGCGAGCTTGGTGCGAAAACTACCGGCGAGGGAACTCAACGCTCCGCCAAAGACCTCGGGGTACTTCAGGCCCAGATTCCACGCCCCGTAGCCGCCGGCCGAGTGGCCCTCCAGCCACCGCGCCGAGGGGTGGCGGATCGTGCGGTACCGCTCGTCGACGGCGGCCACGAGATCGCGCCGCATGATGTCGCCCAGCGGGCGCGTGCCGTCGTAGCTGTTGATCCACCGGCCCTTGGGGAGGGCCTGCGCGGCGATCAGGATGCAAGCGGGCATCTTGCCCAGCTCCATCTTCCGGTAGTAGAAGCGCAGTGACCACTCCGCGTGCCGGGAGCAGGAGAAGCCCCCGTGCAGCCAGTAGAGGACCGGGTACCGCGGCCCCTCGAGGTCGGTGTCCGAGTAGCCCGGCGGTAGGACGACCAGGTAGCTCCCCTGCGCGCCGGGCCCGCGGGTCGGTTGCGGGTAGAGGGCGTATTGGACCTCGGAGGGTAAGGCCCACACGTCGGTGTCGATCCACATGTGGTTGTAGGCATCCAGCAATGCGGCGGGCGGGTGCCAGCGGCCCTTGTAGGGGGGGATCGGGGGGTAGACTTCCGAGGAGGACGGGGTGGTGGTACTGTCGACTGTCATTTTGCGGGCGGTGGGATGTTTTGGATTGTGAGGGGAATGGGAGAGAGATGGATTTGATCTTTATGAGTGGTGGAAATCGGTTGGTCGAGGTGATTGAGAACATGATGCGATCGTGAGTTATATACGAAGGTGGGCTGGCCCGAGTCCGGTATGCGGGGTTGCCTCCGGGGAGGGGTAGAGAGCCCACACGATTCCGGGCCGGCGAGCATCGCTACCCGCGCGGGAGCTTAGGCGAGACTCGCCTGTGAATTCCGGGGAGTCCTACCCTCGGCTGGGCGAGGTTGTCCGATATTTGGACCTCAAAAGCCCGTACTTGCGTGCAACAAAGACCAGCCAAGACGCAGTGACCGTGGTTTCGTCTTGCCGGGTCGTGGTTTATGGCTCGCGCATAATAGCCGTTAACGGACTGCAGCTGCTGACACCACGGCTAGCGACTCCGGGGACACAGTACTGATAAAAGAAACTCATCTGGAAGATCACCGGGTGCCTCGTTGCGAGAGTTGAACACCGCTATAATGAAGGTTTAGTTGTGTTTGTGAATGTAATTGCGGACACACACCTATTTCTCCAGGCGTAATTCGGTTCGCAACCAGCGAAAATAAAAGCAATGAAACCTAAGAAGCGAAACTCTTATAACTTTTGGAACCCAATATTGGAGCAGTAATAAATTCTCTCAAAGCAAATTTATGTCGAAGTCTAACTCAGTTTTTTCTACTGGGTAGTTAGGTAGGTATAATGCAGCCAGGTGAGTGAGTGTGGTGAGGAATCACGCCTAAAGTCGAGAACAGTAAAGCTCCGGTTCCAAAACAGAGGACCCCGATCCGTAGCGGTTCTAATATTGCGTGGCCTGCCAATGCAATAACTAGCAATAAAGCGAAATCCTAGTACCTAACGAGTTCCTATAATATTCTACTCAGTTTGACTATAAGAAATTCTCTGGATCGGCTTGTTTCAAATTTTGTTTCTATGCCATTCCCTTCCAAATATAGGATGTTCAAGTTTTGTCATACCGATCACATAGTAATTATATATAAAGAACAACAAAATAGATTAAAACAGACATAATAATTAACCAGCAGGAATAGGAGTTCTGTGAGAACTATGTAAATACTAATGTACACCAAATTAATACTACAAAAAACCCTTGTATAACAAATTTGGACACGCGCCTCTATTGTTTCGTTATATCGGGAGGTGATATTCATGGACTAATCATGAATGGACAGCCACTAGACCCAAAGCCTGGCGTGTAGGGGTCCTTCGGATCGTTCCGAAAAAGCAACGAAGGCCTAAATCCCCTTCTACTTTTTCACTTCGAAAAGCCCCGGGTTGGGTCTCTTGTCCGGTGATATAGTAGATCTTCGCAGCAGAGTAAGCCCAGCTCCCCGAGAATAAGAAGTATATACAGATCAGCCCCAGAGTACAATACATCTTTGAACATCTCCTGGACAGCATAACAACCTCACAGATTATGTCTATGAATAATATTCGATATTCAATCTTTACAGACCAAGTACCAGCGTATGCACCTTCCGCTAAATATGAGGCGGTGCTATGATTTATTTTGCAAGACAGCAAGAAGCATGAAGCTGGACGGGGGGGGGCGTACCTACGTCTACGCAGATACAGCGCTCAGGTTTGGAGCAAGATTGATATCTTTCATTAAGGGTCTATGAGCACCTGCAGGAGATATGAAAGAAACGTAGCTAGGCTGGGGTCTGGCAGGGGTCGATGAAGCTGGCCTTCTGAGAGGCTACTGTTCAATTGGTGAGCTCGGGTGGTTGCGGGGAAAGTAGGGCAAGCAGGAAGCGGCACTAGGCCCTAAGGATCATTGACTGTTCAGGGCAGATATTCAAAAGGCCAAAGAAGTATTACTTTGTACATACCGGACGATACAAGTGGTCCTGGTTTAGCCTGGCTAGTGCTTACGGAAACAAATCAGCTTGGCTAGTGCTGACGCAACTAAGCATACAAGGTTACGATAGTTACCCCGTACTTAAAGCACACACCCCAGTACTATCAGACTCACACCCCTTATACAATCTACAAACCCAAGATGTCACCTCTCCACCCAGTCTTCACCAACCTAAACGGCGACAGCTCCTGGCTGATCTCACTGCCCCAGCTTGCGGGTGGGTACTTCCACCTCCTGCTCGATCCGTGGCTCGGCGGACCGGCCATCATCACCTCATCCTGGCTGAGCCATATCACGCACATCGAACAGGAGAAGTTCCAGAGCATCGCGCAAGTCGAGCAACTAGCACGAGATATCTCCGCACCCAGTAGGACGGAGAGCCGCATCGACGCCGTGATCGTCTCCCATTCCTTCAGCGACCACACCCACAAAGACACACTGATCCAGCTTGCATCCACCGTTCCAGTGTATGCTACCCGCGAGGCCACCGCAGTCGTCCGGTCGTGGAACTATTTCGACGCGATAGTAGATATCCCCGACTACGAGCCAACCACGCCGTGGCTGGATGAGGAGCTTGCACCGCTGCCGTCGTGGCTTCACCTCCTGCGCATCCCCACCGGCGAGCCACATCCCGCTCTTCATTACGGGATCGTGATCGCTTATACCACGCAAAAAGAAACAACGGAGGCCGTCATCTACTCACCCCACGGCATCGAACCGCCCTTTTTACAACCGCTGGTCGAGGAAGCATCGTTCACAACGCTCGCCCTGCTGCACGGGATCGACGACCAGAGCACGCTCGGTGTGCCGCAGCTGGGTGTGGAGAACGGACTGCGGCTCGAGACGCTGACGGGCGCGCGGTACTGGCTGCGGACCCACAGCCCCCTCCTCGATTTCCGGGGTTTGATCGGGTGGTTCTATCGGAGTGTTCCGCGTACTCTGGACGACGGCCTGGAGCAGGCGGAGCGAGAGATGGGGTATAAGCGGGCGAGGCCGAATTATGTGGAGGTGGCGAATGGGGAGAGTGTGGTTTTGAAGTGAGGGGGGGTGTTGCTGCTGCTGCTGCTGCTGCTGCACATATGAACGGTCAAGCGAACAGGGCAATCCAAAGTGATTGAGTATGATGATGTGATTGATTGCACCGCGATTGCCGGCTAGATCGTATCTACATAGGATGTTATTGCCGGGATCGGGACTTGCACCCTCTATCATCTGCAGCAAGCGTCCCAAAGTCTTTTCAAGGTATAGCGTCTGGCGATCGACTCAGAGTAAGAAACAGCATTGAATGAGCAGTTTTATGATCAGGTAATCTGCTGTCTTATCCCCCGTCGAGTGAAGGCCAAGCGAATACAGCCTTCTAAGCATAAATAATCTAATTGTCCTATCATCTCTCAAACCTCAGACGGAGGTCATCCATGTATACAAAGTCAATTTTCTCTGTTCGGTCTGATATTTTACACTGAGGAGTCCCGTAGAGTTCAGGACTAAATTTTTCTCCCGCGATCATATGTGCGTTCCATCAGCGGGTTTTGCGATGCTCGGGCATATGCGACGTTTCTAATTTGTTGGGAAATACATCAGTCAGAACAGAACAATGACCAAAGTCGGATGAAATGCTTACCGTAGTCGACATGAACAAAGGCTCGAGCGAAGCCCTCGACTGACTCCAGCTTATCCTGCAGTTCTTGGGCGACATCGTGTACTTCGCGCAGGCTGAGCTCCGGCGCCATGACGACGTCCACCTCGACGAACAGCTCCTCGCCCCAGTGATACGCATGGACAGAGTCAACCTGCAGGATCAAATCTGAGTGACGCAGCGTCAGGAAGACTACCTCCTGTACTAGATTCGGTGACGCGCCGAGGCCGCACAGCTCCAGAAACTCGCTCCGGATGGTGCCGATCCAGGTGACGATGATGACCAGGCCGATGAGCAGGGCCCCGGCCGGATCGACCCACCACTTCAGCTTCGCGCCCGCAGCCGATGTGAAGATGGCGAACCCGTACTCAAAGCAGTCGTTGCGATTGTCCTCCCACAGCATCTGCAGCTGGCTGCTGTGCTTGCGGAAGATAAAGCAGTAGACGGCGAGGAACAGCTTGATACCGAACCCGCACGCCGCCGCGATGACCGCAGCCACGTCAAACTTGCCCAGCTCGTGGTCGCTACCCGCCAGGGACCGGATCGACTCGACGACCAGGACGAGCGAGACGGCCATCAGCGCAAAGGCAAAGCAGACATTGCCGGCGTTGCAGAGCCGGCCCGCGCCGGCGGGCCACTGGGTCGAGTGGTTGAGCTTCCGCGCCTTCCGGTGCAGGTAGTCCAGGCCGATGTTGCTGACGGCCTCGCAGCAGCTCTCGGCCATGGTCACGAAGAGGGACAGGGACCGGGTCGTCGCCGCGGCGTAGATCTGCAGCGCGGCGACGAGGATGGTGCCGTAGATGGAGGTGTTGATGGCAGCCTTGACGTGTAGAGATGATGTATCCGGCTCATCGTCTAGCAGCCGCGCAGCCGTTGGGTCCTCGGCTACCTGGATCAGACGGTTGATGTGGAGGTTCTGTTCCGTGTGATAGTTGTGTGCCCGCCGGATGCGCCGGTAGATCTGTTGGCTCCACGCCGATGTGATGGGCGGGCTCACGAGAGAGCCTCGTAGCCGCTCAAGCTCGATGTCGCTTGACATGGTGAAGTTGAAAATGGTATTCTGCAGTGTCTGTCAAGGTCGAGAAAGGTCAATCAGGGAAGAATTTGCAAATTCTCCAAGGCTTGGCTGTAAGCCAGGCGGAAATGAATCCGATTAAGGGTTGAGACTTGGCACCTTGGCGTGCTATTGCCCCCGCCGCAGGAACGTTGCCGGTTGTCGCCACGCAGCTTGAATGTCCTATCGTTTCTGCCTTGTTTGCGTCTTGCAACGGTCCACTTAGCCTTCGTCTCAGCCTACCCTAGCACATACGACCACAGGGTGTGGAAAACAGGGCTTCCCGTCCGCTCAGCCGTACTTAAGCCACACGCCGGGAGGTTAGTAGTTGGGTGGGTGACCACCAGCGAATCCCTTCTGTTGTATGTTTTGGCTTTTTTTATCTCACTATTCGACGGCTGTTTCCTAGCAATCGAGGCCTGCACCATTTCCTTCTCCCGATCTCTCCTATGATGCCCACCTTGCGCGGAGAGCTTGGAACCTCTCCCCAACGCCGACCATGGATCCGAGTCAAAACATCTAATTAGGCCAGCTGTCGCGGACGTTGCCCCTTTCTTCCAGGGGCTAGTGGGAAAGTGTGATGACAGCAACATCCAAGCCTAAACAACAGGTACTGTACAACATCCGAATATCAAACCCTAACTGCATACGATAAGGTCGCGTTCTATACTGACTGCTTATTCTTATCAAACAATATCTTAATGCTATGTACCACAATCCCAAAAGTCAAATCTCCCCCACCTTCCAAGCTGATTGTACAGTATTTACAGATCAAACCAGCATGAAGACAAATGCTCCCACAACGGCAACGACAGATCCCACACCAGCCCGCAGCGAAACACCCATACTATAGGCAGCCGACGACGAGGTCGCGTTGGCCGGCCCAACGGCGCTCAGAGACGCGGTCGGCTGATAAGCCGCCGGAGTCTGGTCATCCACGGTCCCATTCCAACAATAACGTTGGAAACACTTCGTACAGGCCTCCGGGACGGCCGTGCCGGTGCGATTCAACGAGCGGCTGAGAACCGCACAGCCGACGCAGGTCGACCAGTCCGCATCCAGCGTGCCATTCGCCTGCGTCGCCACGTTGTACCCATTGGTGATGATCGCATCACGCTGGGTATTGTTGAATTGACCCTCCTCGAGCGAGAAGTTCGAGCTATAGGTGATCGGGTGGTTGGGCAGGTAAACCACCAAGGGTGTCGGCGTAGTCAGACGAGAGGCGTTGCAGCCGAAGAAAGTCGGACGAGCGTTCAGGCCCAAATTGAGGAATGTATCGAGGTCTGGGATCTCCGGGAACGAGGTGTCGTTGGCGACGTCGAGGAGGGTGCGGTTGTAGGTCGCAATCAGTGATGAGCCGGTCGGCCAGTTGTCGTAAGACGAGGAGCCGAGGGAGTCGATGGCGAAGATCACGTCGACGTTGCGCTTCTGTTGGATGAGCGGGTACAGTGGGACATTCTGGCTGGTCTCGCCTCCGTCCTGCACGATCAGATTGGTGGTTTGTGCGTATGGGGAGGTGGCTGTGTTGTATTGGTAGAAGGGATTCGGGTCGTAGGCTGCCGGTCCGTCAATGCTGGAGTTGGTCGAGCTGGCGGCGTTGTCGAAGTCCTGGACGGCGCTCTTCAAAAACGCCGTCGTGGTGGAGTTCGGCGCGGCGGCTTCGTACTGTTCTAGGACATACTCCAAATAATAGAGAATGTCGTGTCCGTTTTCGTTCCAGATATCGCTTGACGAGCCGGTGATGAAGCCTGCATTGTCGAACCCCCGGACGCAGGTTTCATTGTCTGGCACTACACCGTTGACGAATCGAGTACCGAGATACTCCAGGGGCGCGAAGCCATAGATGTCGTCGTCGTAGGTTCCCCACTCCCAAGGGGTAGTTTCATAGATTGGATATGTTGCTGGGGAGGATGACAAGGTCTCGGTGCTTTTCTGGTTGCCAGTCATAACTACCAGAGGCATCGGAATATCACCACTCTGGAAGGATTGCGTCTTTGCGATCGAGGACCAGGTGTAGTCAACGCCCCCATCGCTGGCATTGAAGAAGTTATATCCCTGGATACGGCCCCTATAAGCATATGTCAATGTCCGTTCCTTGGCTCAGAGGGGCAAGCAAGCTGACCAGAAATCCGCGTCGCCGGTCTTAAACCCAGCCTCCCGTTTGCTCTTAACGTCAGCCGAAATATTTCCCCAGAATTCGACATGCGAGATCTTAGCAGGACCATATATGATTTCCTCGGAGTTAAAGTCCCACAGGTTCTCCTGTAAATTAGAGACCGTCGTAAAGTTATTGACGTAGATAGAACCGAGAGCCCAAGATCCACCGCTCAGGGCAGCAAAATAGGTGGCTGACTGCAGCAGACCACCGAGTTGACCTTTGGCCGTTGATCCTTCAGTGCGTTCATCGAAGGCCTTAATGACACCTCCTCCATTGAGACACGCGACAAGACCACCACCCGAGATGCCAATCGCGACATTGGGTAAGTCGCTGCCAGAGTGGTTCGTAATGTAGCTGACAGCATCGAAGTTTTCAATCTCGATATGTCCAAAGAAGTCTTTCAGAGCGGACTCGGTCTTCGGACGGCGAGTCTGGAGCCATGCTGTCTCATTAGAGGAAAGTGCGGAAGCAGGCCGAATTGTAGGTCGGCTCGATGGGCAGGTAACATGGACCGGGGCATAGCCGTTCGGAGCATCTGGGAGGGCACGAGGCTTGACATTCATATCCCGTGAAGCGAGGTCTGCTTTGATAGATACGGCGCCAGCATTGGTAACTGAGATTAAACGTTGTGAGCTTTGGGTATTCATCAAGTACAAACTGACGACAGTTTGAGGCCGTCACCCTCTTTGAAACTTACATTCTATGATGTTCAGGGACATCAAGCCCAAAAGAATAGACGTCTTCATGATACCCCAATGAGTCAATCAACAAGAGTCACAACAATGTACCCTGAGAGAGAAAGTTGTTCATGTGCTTGAACCTCGATCTGAATCTTGGGAAAGGTCGAGCTATTTATCCTCATGACCCAGCTTGAAGACCTGGTCAAAGCTAAGTAGATGATCAGACCGCGTAGAAAAGATAGCGGAACACAGCGTGTGGAAGTGGAGTCTGAGGCTGAGATGGCGCAAGTAGCCCCAACAAAAGTAGAAGATTCCATCTCTATGTGGTATATAACTCGGGATCGTCGGGCTGAGGTGGATCTCCTGAGGGCCCAAAGCGGCGTTCGCGTAGTTAGCGTTGGCGCGCTAGACTAGATTTAGGAAGCAGTTCGGCACTATACCTCATCAGTCCCACATGGCTGAGCTTACATCGAACAAGCCTCATATTTCCCCCAATCGTCAAAAACAGACTCAATCACTGTGACTAACTCATACAAGCAGTATGACCTCGGAATCTGAGTGAGAGGTTGACACTGCCACGTCATCAGGTACACGTGCAGTCCAAAGATGTTCCTGGCTGGCAACTCCGCCACCATCGGCTAGGGATATGCATGAAGCATACATGGTAAGTGGGGGACAAGGACCCAAATTACGTAGCTGAGCTCCCGTGCGGGGAAGCTACTTGTCTTTCTGATTTCCTTAGAACTCATGTTGATGATATAATTGTGGACGGTACCCGGAAGAGAAAGGCTGAATGCGACCGTTTACCTGAATCACAAACCTGTTCGCATCAATCCTGTATTATACCGTACTGTGATCCTGATCCCATGCAACACTTGACAAAATCAATATCAATCAACAAATCTTTTTTGATTACCCCTTTGGAGTTGCTTCTCCATATCGAAATGTCTGGAGCTGTCAATGCGACTTGGCGCGCTACGCATGCGGCGGGTTGGCAATATAGGGCTAGAAGAGAAGATATAGATCCAAGTAGCAGGGCCGGGGCCCCGCACATCTCATCAGCTTCCCATAACTTACTCGTGAATATAGAGCCCAGAGACGAGGTAATAGTCCAACAGCAATCGGCAGTAAACGAGGAATATCGCTTCAGAATACATTGAAAAATCACAATAAATGCTACTGAAAGTGTTACCGGCAGTGACAAGACGGAGATCCGTCGGGGCATTAGATCCATCGGCAGTCGGCAAATCCGCCCGGGTGCGAACCATAAAAGAAATAAAGCCATTTTGCTCCCCGCACACGCATTACAACTAAATCAGGAACTGTACGGTATAAATAGTCTCACTCCCCTCTATCTGTCCTCGAATCACCCCTGGCCTGACAGATCAACCCCAAGAATAAAGATGCCAGCCCACACCCGCCTCCCAACCTATTTCATCGGCCATGGTACCATCACCTACAATCAAACCCCTTCACCATCCACTAACCAAGGGGGAGGAAAAAACTAGGCGGCGTCTCAATCCTCTTCAAGCCCGGCTACGGCCCTGTCCAAGACGAACTCCGCCAAATCGGCCGGGAAATCCACGGCCTCCATCCCGAAGCCATCGTTGTAATCAGCGGACACCACCAGAGCGAGAAATCCGGGGTGGTAGAAGTCAACCTCAAAGAACCCACCAAGGTCTGGCACGACCTCGGCCCCAGCTGGAAAAATACTTATCCGCACGTCTTCGAGTACGAGTACCCGCACCAATCATCGCGCGCGTTTGGTGAGCAGGTCTTGCAGCACCTGCAGGATCATGGGATTCGTGCCGCGGGGGTGAAGCGGGATTTGGACCATGGGGTGTATGTTTTCGCTCTCGCGTTTCTTCGACTGATCTTAGCTGTTTGAGGATCGGTATCGGATGTTAGATCATGATCATGAATGGCTAACTCGATCCTGGAAAATAGCTGGGTCCCCTTCAAACTCATGTTTCCCGAAGGCAGTCCAGAGGAATTGGTCGACGTGCCCATTCTCCAAGTCTCTTCGTTTGCAGGGGATGATTACGCGGCGCATGTAGAGTTGGGGCGGGCATTGGCGAGACTGTGAGTGTGACATCTCTTCACTCAACCTTTCCTGTGTAAATGTATCAGCGGAAAGGAGAACAAAGAAGAGCAAACCTAACAAGACCGAAAAACAGCCCCGGTCGCATCC